CATAGGTCAGAAGTGCATACTTAGACATTTTTGTGGTTTCAGAGGGACCTTATCTCTGCCTGGTTCTATTAAAAAGTCATGAAGTAGGTTGCTTCACTATTGTGTACGCTTATTTAGAAATATTATGATATGGATTACAGCAGGGTCATTTTCCACTTGTTCAAATGTTACCTTACTTACACACGAGCAGTGAGTAGCATGTATGTAGAAACCCCAGTACCTTCTGCTAAGAAGAGAACATGACCATTTGTAGATTGATCTTAAACTCCAAAGAGAAGAGAACTGAGTCTATGTTAATGGGGCCCTTTTAATGCTTCTCCAGCACAGGAGGACCTCAGCAAATAGACTGATTCTATCTACTGAATCGGGTGCATTGGGAGACTTGAAAGAGATGTCATCATAGACTTGAATTACATGGCCCTTCTTGCTCTGACACCATGTTTCCTAAGCAATTTTCTAATTGAAATTTGATTTCCAGTGTTAATTTGGATGCTATCCATGGGAGGGATGGTGTTTTCTTCTCTACAACATCTTTATTTCCCAGATGTTTCTTCATTTGAAACTTTTATAGGATAAAAGTTTCTCATACATAGCAATAGCCTCCTGTCCAGTCTCCCTGTACCTCACTCTGGTGACTACTGCTAACTCAAGAGTTAACACGCCCACCTCAATAAAAACATGTGAGCTCTCCTTGTCCTGTGGCTAAAATTCCATTGGGCCTTCATTACACAAGATTAATAAACGATTCAGCAATTCCCCACACAAGCCATCAGAGAAGGCTCTCTGGGACTGTACTTCCTAGTGTCTCTCTCAGTTTCCTTGAGCTCCAATAATACTAGAAGACATATGGCCACTTTTAGACTCTGTGAGTTTAAAAGTGCTGTTCCCTTCACCTTATACACAGCTATACATCTCCACCTAACAAATAAATTCTAATTGTTTCAGATTTATGTGAAATGTAAGCACACACTGAAGTCTTCTCTAACTCCTCAGGTTAGAAATGGCTGAAAGTATTCAGAGCTCCAGGCACACTTCCTATTCATCTATAACACTGTGATGATCAGTCTGAATTGTAATTTAACTGCTTACAAGTTCATTCTGCATCCTCTTCTTAAACTAGATTATGGGTTCTTAGGGACTAGCAAATGAACCTCTGTATCACCATAACTTATCACAAAGCCTGACACACAATAAGTGCTTAATGCATGCTTTCTGTGAATAGTATCGTAATGGTTATAACAGTGATTAGACCAACATCACAGGCATATACAAAACTGAACAATGATAAGGTAACAGCATCTTGCTGCTCCAATCTGTAATAATGTTTTTGGAAATGAAAGATAAAAAACATATCTATATTTCTGTGTACATACCTGAGACTGACTAATAATCAAGGGGTTTTTATGTTCATGAGTTCCATGTGAAAAATAAAGCAGTGTTTTTTAAATGAGTATTTATGTGTTTGTTTACTTAAGAATTTTCTCCCACATCCCAATTTCTTGTCTGGAAAGTACGTGTGGATGTGATGTTCAACATATTTAATAAGTCATATGGAAATTAGGACAAATCAGGATAAACCTATATAGCCATATGAGAGAAGCAGGGTCCTGGAGGTCCCTCTGGGGCTATATGATAACTCTTGTTTCTGGATTAACACTGAGGAGGTTTGGAAAGCCAGGCATCCAGCGTGGCTGCGGTCGGGGACATCCAGCGTAGGGGGTGGGGGACATTTTCCAGGGCATTTGAGCAGTGGTTGTTTACCATCTAGAATTAAACCACTGTAATTTCTTAACAGTCAATACAATTAATGGAGCATCCTGCTGTACATCAGGTCTTCTATCATGATATAAATGTCTTTAATATGATTTGAAGTCAGGCATGTGATACCTTCAGCTTTGTTCTGGTTGCTTAGGACTGCTTTGGCTATTCAAGCCCTTTTCTGGTTCCATAAGAATTTTAGAATTTTTTCTTTCTAATTCTGTGAAGAATGATATTGATAATATATTGGAATGGTGTTGAATATGTACATTGCTTTGGGTAGTATAGTCATTCTAGTGATATTAATTCTTCAAATCCATGAGCATGGAATGATTTTTGATTTGTTTGTGTCATCTGTGATTAGTGTTTTGTAGTTCTCCTTGTAGAGATCTTTCACTTCCTTCATTAAATGTATGCCTATGCATTTTTTTTTGTAGCTATTGTAAATGGGATTGAGATCTTGATTTGGTTCTCAGCTTCCCTATTATTATTGGTGTTTAGCAATGCCACAGGTATTTGCATGTTGATTTGTATCCTGAAAATTTACTGAAAACATGTATCAAATTTAGGGCTCTCAATGCTATAGTAACCAAAAGACATATAGATAAATGGTACAGCATGGAGAACTCATAAATAAAGCCACATACCTCTGACCAACTGACCTTTGACTAAGTCAACAAAAATATATACTAGGGGGAGGACACTCTATTAAACAAATGGTGCTGGAAAAATTGGATAACCATATGCAGACAAATGAAACTATACCTATATCTCTTTCCATATACAAAAATTAACTGAAGATGAATTAAGGATTTAAATGTTCTAGGCATGGTGGTTCACGTCTCTAATCCCAGCACTTTGAGAGCCTGAGGTAGATGGAACTCCCGACTCACTTGAGGTCAGAAGTTCGAGACCAGCCTGAACAAGATGAAGAAACTCTATCTCTATGAAAAATACAAAATTAGCTGTGTGGTGGCACATCCCTGAAATCTCAGCTACTCAGGAGTCTGAGGCAGAAGAATTGCTTGAACCCAGGAGGTGGAGGTTGTGGTGAGCCAAGATCACACCACTGCACTCCTGCCAAAAAGAAAAAAAAGACTTAAATGTACAACCTGAAACTGTAAACATCCTAGAAGAAAACCTAGGAAAAACTCTACTGAACATTGGCCAAGGCAAAGAATTTATGACCAACTCCTCAAAAGCAAACATCATAAAAATAAAAATATATAAGTGAGAGTTAATTAAAGGAAAAAGCTTGTACACAGCAAAATAAACAATCAACAGAATAAACAAACAATCTACAGAATGGGAAAAATATTTGCAATCCATGCATCTGTAAAAAAGGGCTAATATCCAGAATCTACAAGGAACTCAAGCAACTCAACAACAACAATAAAAATAAATAAATAAATAAATAAATAACTTTATTAAAAAGTGAGCAAAACACATGAACAGACACTTTTTAAAAGAAAACATACAAGCAACCAATAACATAAGAAAAACATTCTCAACATCATTAATCATCAGATAAATGCAAATTAAAATCACAGGGAGATATCATCTTACATCATCAGCCAGATGGTTAATATTAAAAAGTCAAGAAACAACAGATATTGTGAGGATGTGGAGAAAAGAGAATGGAAATACACTGCTGATAGGAGCGTAAATTAGCACAACCTTTATAGAAAACAGTATGGAGATTAATCCAAGAACTAAAAATAGAACTACCATTTGATCCAGTAATCTCAGTAGAGTATATATCCAATGATATACCCAATCATTATATAAAAAAAGATATCTGTCATTGTATTTTTCTGGCAGCACTATTCACAATACCAAAGATAGGGAATCAACTTAAATGTCCACTAAAGGATAGCTGGATAAAGAAAATGTGTGTGTATGTGTGTATGTGTGTGTGTGTGTGTGTGTGTGTGTGTGTGTGTATAAAATATAGCATGTGTACACAAATGCCATATTCCATACATATGGAATATATACACATATATATACAATATACACATATACACACAATATACACATATACACACACCAGAAATACCATATACCATAAATTCCATAAAGCACTATTCAGCCATGAAAAATAAATCATATATTTTGATGCAAAAGATTAACAAAATCTAGGACTCCCAAGGCTTAGTAACCAAAACACCATGGCACTGGTATAAAAATAGATATATAGATCAATGGAACACATTAGAGGAACTGGAGGCAATTATTGTAAATAAAATAATTCAAAAACAGAACGTCAAATACTTTATGTTTTCGCTTACAATCGGTAGCTAAACAGAGTACACATGGATATATAGTGGTAAAAATATACATTGGAAACTATAAAAGATGGGAGCATGGGAGAAAGGTAAGGGTTGAAAAACTACCTATTGGGTTACCAAATCACCTTTTGGGTGATGAGTACACTAAAAGCCCAGAATCTACCACTATGCAATACATTAATGTAAGAAATCTGAACTTGTACTCCCTAAATCTATAAAAATGAAACATATATATACACACATATATAAAATAAATCTGTCCTTAGGACTTATAGTTTTAACAATTCAAACTAGCAACCTTGGGATAAGAGAAACTTTAGAGGTCAGCATGCAATAATAATGCTTGGAATAAACCCATTAATCCAATATAAAGATCATTTTCATTTTGCTGAAGAGAAAGTGAATTATGAAGGTACCACACAACAGTCTTATTATTTAACACTTTATCCATAGAAAGGCAGGGAAAAGCCAGAGAAGACCATTCCATAAAGAAATCTCTTTAATAGTCTGCTTTTTTAACTGTGCTGAGTTTTGGACTCTTTTAAGCTACATATATTCGAGTATCTCCTTGCCAAACACTATCACTCCAGAATAAGTAAACATAAAAGCAATTAAAAGGCACCATTTTTTAGCAGTTCATTCATCCTGGAACCCATCTACCCAACACCATTTTTAAAACATTTTGATTTTTAATTTTTGGGGGTACATAGTAAGTGTATATATTCAAGGGGTACGTGAAATGCCTTGATATGGGTATGCAATGCATAATAATCACATCATGGAAAATGGGGTATCCATCTACTCAAGCATTTATACTTTGTGTTACAAACAATCCTATTATACTCTTAGTTATTTAAAGTGTATAATTAAGTTATTATTGACTAAAGTCACCCTGTTGTGCTATCAAACAATAGGTCTTATTCTTTCTATTTTTTTGTATCCATTAACCACAAAAATAAGAAACGTTTCACGAATTTGCATGTCATCCCTGTGCAGGGCCATGACGAGCTTCTCTGTATTGTTCCCATTTTAGCATATGTACTGCCAAAGCGAGCACCCAACACACTTGTTTTTTTTTTTTTTTTAGCACACGCTAAAATACTGTGCAAGGTAGGTATTGCCGGGAGGTAGGTGGATACAAAAATATAGACAATGCTTGACTCTAGGAATTTCTATTACTTTCTCTTTCAAATTTACTTTTCATTCCATTATGGCTTTGAATTAATGTCTAAACATTGACTTGATTTTTCAAATTCCTTCATCAAAATGAGTATCGCTCACTTTAATTACTTAAAAATCTTTTTTCCTCTTTATAGTCTCAGCTTATATTTGAATCATTTATTTGAGTGTGCAGAAATCCAAGCAGTTTCTTCTCCGCATGGGGCATAAAGAAGGCTTAGGAATTGCAACACAAGAGCCTCGCCTGAAGCCCTGCTTATGCATTTGCTAACTATGTCAAGTATCATGATAGAAGTAGAAAATGTATTCTAGGAGTAGGAGAGTTCGTGGAGAGGACAGTTTTGTCAGCAGCATTGTGGTGGCTCTGCATTTTATGCAAGAAAGGCTTAGAGAGTGGGTTGAGGTGGGAATTAGACATATCTTAATGCAGCCTTTGCATAGGAAACATGTTTTTACTTCTATGGTGTTCTCATTTGGATGGGTTGAGAAACTGAGATTATAACAAGACTAATTCTAACACTAGCCCCAGCCACCACCTCCAGATTCTTAGTGTCTTATCTGCAAATCACAGTTTGAAAAAAGTCAATCAAGAGAAGTTTCCCCCTCAAAAAAAAAAAAAAAAAGCAAGCCAACTGTCAAAGACATTTTAGAGAGTATTTACTCTGGCTGACTGGAAAAGTTATGAAAATTATATTAAATACCTTTAAAAGATGAATAGTTGTTTAAGTAAAAGGACTATGTATCTTTAAGCTGTCTTGTATCTCCAGCCACAACCCTAGATGGCATTTGATAGATGCATGACAGAAGATAACGAAATGCTAAATCAGGTGGAAAAGGACATAGCTTCCTAGACATCATGGCACATGAGAAGTACACACAAGCAAGAGGGGAAATGCAAGCATGCAACCAAAGTGTTAAGGACCAAGAAGACCAAAAGGGACACCAGGAATACATTAAAAGCCAAAAGAGCACTTGGAAGCTTAAGATATTTGAACTTCAACATGTTCAAACTTAAAAAATATATAAATTTAAAAATTATTTTAAAGAGAGATAGTTACTGATATGGTTTGGCTGTATCTCCACCCAAATCTCACCTTGAATTGTCATCCCTATAATCTCCAAGTGTGGAAAGGACATGAGGGGAGGCAACTGACTCATGGAGGCAGCTTTCCCCATGCTACTCTCTGTTCTCGTGATAGTGAGTGAGTTTTCACAAGATCTGATGGTTTTATAAGCCTCTGGCATTTATTGTGCTGGCACTCATTCTCTCTCCTGCTGCCCTGTGAAGAGGTGGCTTCCACCATGATTATAAGTTTCCCGAGGACTACCCAGCTATGCAAAACTGTGAGTCAATTAAGCCTCTTTTCTTTATAAATTACTCAGTCTTAGGTATTTTGTCCTAATGGTGTGAGAACAGACTAATACAGTTACTGACTAAACTACAGAAAATCAAGAATGTAGCATTAACCTCTAAAATGTCACATTTGTTTAAAACAGACAACTAGAATGTATTCAGTCAGTAAGTCATTTATCATTTTGAAAACATTCAGGTCTTAGGAATACACAATCAGATTATGAAACAATTACATTGTTCTCCAAATATTCTGGCATAAAGTACCCAATACATCAATAATTTCACATCCTTGAAGAAGTCACATCCTCTGCACCTGTTCCTGTTCTTCATGACAGTGTTGGTGTCATCTTAAGCAAAAGTGGGAAAGGCTTGTTTCTTGATATGATATTGGGATTCTTTGTTTTGGTCTCAGATGAAATTTATTGTGCTGAGTTCTAAATACCCAACTCAATGCTTTGGAATGTACTTTTGCATATCTGGGTTTGCATTACTACTTTAATACTTGCTGGCATTCTGAACATGAATAAATTGAATATATGAAAGCATACAATTCATGGGGTTTCATGAAGCCTAAAAGAGAAAGGAAGATAATGTGTGGTAGTGGGATTTTCACAGTGCTTGACACCGAGCACATCTTCACCTTCTATACTAAATAAGTCAGCACATATTTATTGAGTATCAACTGTGTATCTAATTCTGTAATGTCTCTGTATGATGCCAATTAAAGTCATTTATTTAACAATCTATCATTGAGTATCTACTATAAGACTGCTGAGTACTGTACTGATTCCTGGGGTGGGAAGTGAGATAATCAGTTCAGATAATAAGGCACATGGCTGCCTCCCAGGAACAACAAGGCAAGCGTGACTGTCAGGTACCCAATCTACACTCTGCTAAGTACAGGGCGGGGAAGAGTGGTGTCTAGGTGACTAATGTACTTATAACGCCTAATCCTTGCTAATCTCTAAGCACTTGTTTAGAGACACTGGATGTGGTTATAGCATTTTAAAAGATAAATAAGCCCTCCATAGGGCAGTTCATGGATTTCTCATATGCTATTACATTGACTGGATCAGTAAAGAGTGGGATGCCCCCATCAATCACTAGTAACATGATTATCTCACAAGTGCATTACCTACAACTTGACCATCACATTGACTTCAGAAAGAGAATGGAGGCTTTTCTGCATTACTCCACAAATATTTTTATGTTTTTTTTTCCAAAGAGGAGAGAAAGGCACATTACACTTTATTCAGTCATGTTTGTCTTACTCATCTCCGACAGTGTACGTGAAAGATATATACCTGGAACAAAGGGAAGGTTTGTGGATCTTATTTGACTCCTGGGTTAACCATAGCCAACTGTTTTTCAGCAGGTTCTTAATTTATCTGAATCTTATTTATGTAATGTGATTAAAATCTTACTTATTATTCATTTTTATGAGTTTAAAGGCCCCAATGCATTATAGACATGCAGTATTAATTTTATCATGCAACTTCTCTGCTTTAAAATTTCTCTTTCCATTTGAATAGACATTTTTCCAAAGAATATATATATATATATACACATCCAACAAACATATGAAAAGATGTCCAAAATTGTTAGTTTTTATGTAAAGTAAAATCAAACCTACAATGAAATATCACTTTACATCTATTGGAACAGACAACAACAAGTATTGGCAAGAATGTGGAGAAACAGAAACACTCAGACCATGCTAGGGAAAGTAAAATGGTGCAGCAGCTGCAGAAAAGTTCGATCATTCCTCAAGATGTTAAACAGAGTTACCATATGACCAAGCAATTCTACTCCTCACATAAGAGTTTTGAAAACAAATGTTCATACTTGTTTATGAGTGTTTATGTAAATATTATTCATAGTAGCCAAACCAACTCCATTGTACACCAAGTGATGAATAAACAAAAGTGGAAAAAAGTGCTACATCTATACAATGGAATGTTATTCACTAATAAAAGACATTGGTTACTGATTCATGCTACAGCATGGGTGGACCTTGAAAGCATTATGCTGAGTGAAAGAGGGTAGACATACGTCTAAATATTACATAATCCCATTTATAGGAAATGTCCAGAATAGGCAAATCCACAGAGACATAAAATAAATCAGTGGTTGCCAGAAGCGGGAAGGAAGAGTGAAGCTCTGTGTTCTTTTCTTTTAACCTTGGTTTCCTATAAACCCTCTTTTATGTTTCCAGTTTAGTAAGAAGTAAAAGGGGACAAAAATTGCTCAATAGTGAAGATTCTGCAAATAAATAACAATTTCATATTAATGCCATTTGAGAAAAAAAAGAAGAATCCTCATGTACCACCCCAAAACTGTTTGCCTTATTGACAAACTTGACTCCCAAACCTTTGTTTCAGAACAAGTATTATTGAGAAAATTCGTCCATTCTCTGTGATTGCTGGAAAGCAATTAAAACAAAAATCAAAGAGCTATAACCATCTGTTCATTTCCAATTCTTATCTCTCCATTTGCAGAACTAACAGCTATAAATTATAGTGCTTGTGGATCATTCAATATTTTCAGTATGAAAGACAATGGTGGTCTTTAGCCTAGCCAACATGGCAAAACCCTGTCTCTGCTAAAAATACAAAAATTAGCCAGGCATGATGGCGGGCACCTGTAATTCCATCTGTTTGGGAGGCTGAGGCAGGAGAGTCACTTGAACCAGGGAGGCAGAAGTTGCAGTCAGCCAAGATCATACCACTGCACCTCAGTCTGAGCGACAGAGCAAGACTCTGTCAAAAAAAAAAAAAAAAAAAAAAAAAAAGAGAAAGAAAGATAATGGTAGTCTTTATTGCTGAGAAAATTTGGAATTTTCAATAGAAATTCCAATTTAAGTACAGATAATAGGCTAGAAATCTACTATCTAACTTTGCCTCTCTGATGGTGGAAGCCATGAGCTCCCCACCCTTTGCACTGATCGAAGTCATTTCCCAATCTGCCCCACAAAGTAGGAACATAGTAATTTTCCTTGATATCTTAAAGTCTGCAAGGGTACATTCTCTGCCTCTTCTACACTGCTCTCCATCTCTCTTCTCCTGTACTGGTGTGACTTTGTATTTGTACATACCTAGTAAAATGAGTTTTTACTCATCTACCTGGCAAACCCTTCTACCGAGAATCAGATTTAGTTCATATAGAGAAGGGTTCAGTATACTATGGTCCCAGGCCCAAATTTGGTCTGCCACTTATATTTTTAATTACAATTTTGCTGAAACAGTGCTAAACTCATCTGTTTATGCATGTCTATGGCTTTTGGAGCTCCAATGAGTTGAGTAGTTGTGAAAGAAACCACATGACCCACAAAGCCTAAATGTATATTATTTGACCTTTTACAGAATTTACCAACACTTGATATGAAACATTACTGGGGAAAGTGGCTTTCTCACAGATTACATATTTGAGTTTATTGGCATTTTTCGCATTTATTTCAGTGCTTTAGTGTAATATATTTCAATAAATATATATGGAAGGTGTGCAACCAAAATTTAACCACTAGG